AGTGACCCTCCCTTGGGTTTCTCCATGGTTAGTACAAGGCTGCCCTTGGGAGGGAGGTACAGCAGACATCTGCATGCCCAGGCACACAGGAAGCGGCATGCATCACACACCCTGTGGTACTGATAAAGCATGTCAGAAAATGCGACGAGCAGGCCCAAATTTATGACACCGGCACGTCACAAAAAGGGTGTGAGGCGGAGGAAAAGGTGGTGGTGCAGGAGAATCAGCCTCGAACCCCAGCGCCGCGGAAGCAGGCGGTGCGCTGGCGCCCTCACGGGGAAGGACGGCTCCGACTGCCTCCACCTGCTCGCGATCCAGATGCAGGACTGGTGACATCATGGGGAAAAAGCCGCACGGCAGTAAACAAAAGCGGCAAGTGGCGCGTGGCTGATGCACGAGGTGCTAGAAAAACGATCTGCAGAGGGAGGGAGGAAAGGAGAGAGGGAGGGAGGAAAGGAGAGAGGGAGGGAGGAAGAGTGCGAGCAAGTCCCACGCTAAAAAAGATACATGCTTACATGCGTAATGTTTCACTAATAATGCAGCTAAGCCACAGCAAATGTCATCATAATCCTAATCATCTCATATAATTATAATTATTATTTTAATGCCAAAAAAATGCTGTCATTTCACCTACGATGTAATGGACACACCTGAATTATTTTAACCGACGTTAATGTGATTGTCTGAGTCATGTTAATCTCTGAAGGATGACAGAATGATTTTTTAAAAGCTTTTTTAAGCCTGTTTTATCACGATGATTTGACATCATCTATGGCGACGATTCTGATGAGTTTCGATGTTTGCGTGTTTATTGTATGTGCACATTTGCACACGACACAATATATAAATCTACGTTTGTTAAATGATCTGCCCTGAACAATAATATAAACTGTGAACTCTTTTATTGCTTTATTGTGCATTAAAACGATCTTCACGGTGGCGTCTTCCGAAACCAAAAAACCACAAGCTGAAGCCCAAGCAATCTGGAGTCTCATTTTCCACTGACGCCTCTGTCGGTCGACAGGTCACATGACAAGACACCCAGGTTGAGTTTGAGTAATCTTCCATAGCAACATTTTCTGAAGTCATCTCCTCAGTAGACATGATACTTGGGGTGCTGTGAGCAGGCCATGGACTGCCCTTACAGACTCACTCATCCATCGTTGCCTCTCCTGGTCACGGGTCACTTAGGGTACACAGGCTGGGGTGTACTCCTCTACCAACCTCATGCCTCTTTATGTTCCTGGAAGGTTCTTGTGCTGCACTTCAGGTCCTTGAATAGTCCTATTAGGTCCTTGCTTTGTTAGACATTGTTGTGTAGATCCAATACTGATTACTCTCATATCTGGGCATTCAATGGAAGCTCAGCCTAGCTGTACTTTGGCTAGTCGACTCCTTGACAGCAGTGTATGTTTGTGCCATAGGAAGAAGTGTGACCAAACATAAACAGAGAACAATGTGGGATGTATGGCTCAGGAGACAAAGCCTCTGTGCCACTGGAGCCTGTCATCACAAGGTCACCTGTTCAAGCCTTGGCCTCAGCAGAATAGCCACATCTCTGCTGAGCCCCTGAGCCCCTGAGCAAGCCCCCCCCCCAAAAAAAAATGCCACAGGGGCCCACAGATCCCAAGCCTCATTCTCAGCTGTGTGTGTGTGTGTACGCCTCAAAGGAGAGTAAGGTGGGATATCTGACAATAAGCATTCCAGTGTACTCCAGTGCAAATAAAGGATCAACACCATTTAGAGAACCCCCCACAGTGTGTTGTTACAAAAGAACCACAAATGTAAAAACTAGAACCAGTTTATAAACCACTATTAATAGTAAGTACATATATTAAATCATAACCTAAACTAAACATACCCTATAAATTATGAAGAATAAATGGGTGTAAAATGCTACAGGTTCAATGAAAATGTCCAGACTAGTTACAACTGAAATGAAATTGGAATAAAAAGCTGAAATATAAACTGAATCAAAAATATGAAAAGTAAAGAGACTTAAATGCTGTGCAGAAGCTGGGTAACCAAGCAGAGGAGGGAACCGCACTGGTTGTACAACAAAAACCTTTCATCACAAGCACAGAGGATGAACCACGGCACACAAGCTTTCTCATAAATACTTACCGCACAGAGAGGAAAAGAAAATCAGCTTTTATATTATCTGCACAAAGGAACACTTAACACCTGCTGACACACGCGGCCTCTTAATGTGCGACAATAATAGCGTCATTTTCACTGCAACTCTATTCAGGGCGACGTATCTAGAAGGAGATATTCTGCTGAACAGAGGTGGAAAATTCAGCTTTAGAAAATGCAAATCCAGACCAACATTTTGTTTCAACCAACCAGTTGAGTCCTCTGTGACTGTGACTGTTTATACCAGGGCTACTGCAAATCGCGGTACAAGTCCTGCTGATTTCCCAAGCTTCGTCCACCTGTGAGCCAGGTGTGGAGCCTCCAGCCAATCAGAATCAGTAATTAATAAACTAACTACCTGTGAGAACTGAAAACAAGGCCTGGATTTGTAATCGAGGGCCAGATTTGAACAGCCCTGATTTATTCTCAACTGGTTGGTTGGAACAATCTTGGCCTGGATTTGCACTTTCTGAACCGGAACTTTCCACCTCTGCTGCTGAATATACAGACTCAGTACAGGTTTTACACTGGTGAAGATTTTAAATGTCATTTACCAAAGGGCTTCATCAGGAAGACCACAGATTGCCTCTCCATCCATCCATCCATCCATCCACCAAGCACTCATCCAAGCCACAGTATCTGCTCCTAGAGCGTGATGGAGATTTCCTCAAATGCGGAGCCTGAGCCCACTAGGCTATTTCCAAAGCACACATGCTGACTGTACAGTATGTAGGATACAGCAGCGTTACAGGAGTTGAGCCACTGGTGCGATACTGGAGATACTGGACACTGATCTCTGGAGTGGGACTGGGATGAGTGCTGCCCCCCCCCCCACCGTGAATAGCAGTATCCCTCCACGTTTCCTGAGGTCCTGCTTTTCCTGCCTCAGCACTTCCTGCAGTGCGCGAGCCACTCGGCCCGGTGCAAGCAGGAAACCATGAGAGACGAGGCTATCAAAACAGACAAGGCTGTGGGAGGTGGGAGAAGAGCACTCTTCAGTGACCACCCCCCCCCCCCCCCCAAGCTGACATCTATCTTTGCATTGACTCTCGCTGCCCACATACTGCCTTAATGGGACACTAGAAAGAACGAAATACCAAAAAAACACATTCTGTACTGCAGATTCTCCTCTGACCCAAAGCAACATGCAATTTCACGCCTTTATACATTTCAACGGGGGGATACAATAGCCAGACCTGTTCAGGGTGTCGAGCCCACAAGTTTCAGGTGAAAAGTCTGTGTCCGTAACCAGTGTGTTAGTTGCTGCCTATGTGTCTGCGTTCTGATCATTGTGTCTTCCTCCTATGAGTAGAACAGTGTGATCGGTATGCTGACCCCTCATTGGTTGAGCAAACTGCTTGTCTCCACCCACAAAGGCACAATCACCAATCAAAATTACACTTTGCCAGCCAAGTATTTTTTCTACTCAATTTAATATATTTTATGGGATGTGAAACTGTTAACGGATGTACTTTAAAGATTGATCTGTGCCCAGTAAACTACTACTGTACAGCCTATTTAACAAAAACTGATATTTAAAAGATAGCTTGCTGACTATTCAAGTTTATGTTTTTTTAAAACACATTCTAAGCAAATTTCATGTGACAGCACTCCTACTTTTCCAGAGGTAGGACCTCATACAGGGTTGGGGGGGGGGCTTAGGGTAGATTTTTCATGATATTCGGTCATCAAACAGGGACACTTTCAACTGTTACAGCAAAAGAGTGTTCTGGCACCCCCCAGCCCCGCCTCCCACCTGTGCCTGCAGCATACTACTATGTATAACGTATAATTACAAGTAGGTTGCATCGTCAGTCAGGAAATAGTGCTGTGAGCTCAAGGGTTCAAAACCTGAAGTCTGGCCCCAGATCTGGGTATATGGACATTGCACGTCTTCCCTGTTTCTGTGGGTTGCCTGCCACTGCCCGCGGATATGCAGGTAGGCTGGTGTCCCACCCAGTAACAGCATGTGCTGGTGTGTGTGTGAGAGAGAGAGGGATCCGTTTTATGGACCGGTGTATATATAGCAAGCACATGTAAGACAAGTGACAAATATGGAAAACATGGAGTGAGTGAAAAAACAAGCGTAAAAGACGACAGCAATCATTTCAGAAAGCCGATGAAAGGAAGGGCTTTGTTATTTGAAGAATTTATTTTCAGACAACAGGATTTTCCTGCCACTCCAATATAGTCCTTGCAGAGGTCTCCTTCTCAGAGGGATTTCAAAGGACTCAAATCCTGCGATGCCGGGATCGCAGTCTGATTGTGTTCTCTGTACTACTGTGAAATATTTAAGTAATTTACTTTCTTCCTTACCTGGGATAGTTTGGAAATATTGTGAATGACTGGTGGACACTTGGTGGTAATAGGCCTATGAGCAATTTCTTCATGTGACTGAAGCACACGCAAGCAGTGGATTGTATTGTTCCTCATTCTATAATTTGATAAATTAAAGCACACAGACAGGAACGTAACATAATTGTCATTGGAAGGAGACAAACCTCAAATAAACAACATATATGGTAAAGAAAAAGACAGTACTGCAATAAATCAGAAACCGAACATGAAGTAATTGAAATGCAAAACGGTAGGGGCAAGATTTAAGGTGCTTTCCAGTATTCTGCAAATGATGAGTCACTTTACTAACAAACATTTACGTTGAGGCTTTCATGTGACTTCTGCCACGCGTTATTATGTTTTTGGCTCACTCACCGGCATATAGAAATTATAAAGTGAATTCTATCTGGCGGATGATGAGCGGAATATTACCTGTTGGACTCTGCCTACGCTAAAGAGGATCCGCGCAAAGGACTACATCTCCCATGATGCACTTCGCATGATGTTACCAACAGCTGACAGACGGTAAAAGCCGATGTGAAATCTGCCAGTGATCGAGAGGAAGGATCTTTCGGCGCGACGAGCAGACAAGGAGGTCTAATCGTAATGTCAGACTAGTTGGCACGGCAGCAGCTGGGGTCGCTTTTGAACTCTCCACTTTTGACTGAAGAGAAATCTATGTTTTGTGTTTTACTGGCACAAGTTGCAAAGCGGACATCGTTATTGAGCTTTGCCGCATCTCTAATGTGTTTGCTGCTTTTAGTATTTATAGTTTAAGCGCACCCCCCCAAGCAGTGCCCAATGCCGAGGAATGGATAGCGTGTCTGGCAAAGGTGGAAAGATGGTTGAAAGTGATGAACAGCCGGAGAGGGCGAGCTGCGGTGGCGCAGGGATGGCCGCACTACACCAGTGCGAACTCATCCAGAACATGATCGAGATCTCCATCTCCAGCTTACAGGGGCTCCGGACGAAATGCGCGGCTTCCAACGATCTCACACAGCAAGAGATACGCACCTTGGAGGTAACAGACGGACGACAGCGGAGACATTTCAAACGCAATTATGTGCAGTGTCATGCATATGCGCTTTCTTTTTGCTGTGGGGTGCATCTTTATTTGATAGCGACAGCTTATCGCGTTTCATTTCTAGCAAAGGGCACTCTTAAAACCGTGGGATCGTCCACTGTACTTCTGTACCTAGACATGTGTGTGGTTTCTACCATATTATAAGTAATCACAACATGCTGTCGACCAAATAAGGGATACAGGCGGGTTTCTGTCTGTCAGGAAGAGACGGGCCAGCCTGTTATTTTGACCTCTTTGTGCAGCTGGTTCAAATAAGTGTACAGTCATTGTTCTTCTGGTAACGATTCGCTGTTATCGCTCATGTCAAATCCTGTTGTCCCCAGTAAAATGTCCCGGGTGTCCCGTTTATTTCGTGGGACACCCCCGGCCGAGATCGCCGTATATTTCCATAGAATAGCGTTTGTGCATCAGGTTTCCGTGTATCCGCAATTAGCCGAGACCCTAAAATATCAGGGGCTATAAGACTAGACGAACGCTTGCGAAAGTAAATGTTTTATTACATATATATATATATATATAAAAAAAACCTTATGGAGTTAGCAGCCTCCAAACTCCGTTAAAAGTACCCCCCTGCAATTTCTGCACCTTGTGGCGGTTTGTATGCGAGGTGTGTGTGGCATGACATTCTATCTCTTAGGGCTGTAATGCGATGATATTGCTTGTTCGAGTTGTATGTGCTGGTTAGGATTACGGCGATAAAGTTCAACGTTTAAACGTGTGATCTGGGAGGGGTCATAGGTATGTACCGCAGACCAACCTGCATGCCATTTGCGTCAAGCAGACGTGATAATTAAAAGGCAAAGAAACAAATTGTTGATGGCCCCGTATACATATAGCATTAATATTTGGTAAGTGTGTAAATGCGCATCAGGCACATACATAATATGTGGGGCGGTTGCTGTTTAATTGCTAAATAAAAAATAAAGAGATATGATGACTGCAGCGTCCTTCAGGTTGATTGTCAAGCTTCTCATAACCCTTAGCTTTTGGTATGGGGGTGTAGGTGTGTTCAACGGTGACATTTCCGACGATGCTGGTGATTTGTCCGAAGAGAGGTGTATGGCTGATGTTCGTGATTACTCAGCCCTTTTTCGGCGTTGCATTGCACATTATAATAAACCGGCGTCTGCAGTGGCTGGATCTTTGATCGTAACCCCGGTTGCCCTATGCAGTGGTGATCCGGGCTGTGGATTTCATTCAGCAGCGGCGACAGTTGTGTATATTAGAGGTTGACTCTCGGTTTATCGTTTCTATCCTCCCTGTCTTTTTCTGCAGTGGAGTCTCGGGTGGGGGCGGGGGGGGAGGGGGTGTGGAAGGATGGGGGGCAGGGGTCGGACAAGTCTGTAACTGGCAAAAACTTGCTGCGCGAGTCTTTCGGTATTGCTGGCGAACAGGTGCACCGAAACACCGGGAGGACTGCTTGAGACCCGTGAGCGGGGAGGTCGATCCCGCAAGTCCCACGATGGGCCGTTTCTTTGAGCTGACCTTAAAACACTACGGACGCCTCTGCACCCGTGTCAGCACTATGTGCATCCATGTTTGCAAAACGTGCTCTATTTATAGGAAATGAAAGGTATTTTTAATCACGGTCGGCGTGAGTTTGCAGGCGGATACCGTGATAGTTTCGGTGCTGACACATTGGTTTTCATTTGCGCCGTCTTGCATTTCTTATTACTGTATCATTTTTCCCGATTGAAATACAGAAATACAAACACGGAAATAATGTTATATTATACAATGTTGGCCTTTTATTTTATCAAAACGATTTTGGAAAAAAAACTCCCAAACTTGAGCAGAGTGCGGTTTTGGACATGTGAGTTAAAATATGCTTGTTATGGGAGTGATTTGGCACAAGTCTTAGAAACATAATGTTCTAGCGTTGTGCTATAAAATAAATTGTCTTCTAGTATAACCCGGCTGCAACTATCCCCATACTGGGATTTGAATAGAGCACTATTGAGATTGCTCTCGAAATCCCCTTTAAAATCCCTTTTGCTTTAGAGAACATTAGACGGTACTTTTTGTCTAAAAAATGGATTGTCAAATTTACAAATAGCCAAAAAAATAAAAATAACGGAGACAATTTACTGTTGTTACGGTATGTGTCAGTTGTGTCTATGCAATCTTAAAGTGTAAGACATCAATCTAATCTTTATTCAGGATTAAGAAAAAAATTCTTAAGTCTCTGCAAAGATGAGGCTCTTCTGTGGGCAGTTGAACTTCGTCTTGAACACTTTTGCCAAGACCAAAAGTCGATACCGAACCATTTCGTGTCCTTGTTTGCTGTTGTATGATGGGTAATTTGACAATTAGTGGTGATTTGGCTTCTCTGACGCCTAAGGCTTGTGATCGCCCCCCATGCACACATCAGAGACCCCTTCTCCTAAAAGCTGCCGCTTTCATTTCTGCTTTGTCTTCGTACAGGAAGTCTGTCCCCTACCTGCTCTCTGTAGCCCACCCCTCAGGGACCCCCCCCCCTCAAAACCTATGCACTTGGGGGGGGGATAGGAAATGAAGGGGCGGGGCTTATAAAGGATGTGGATGACTCTTGCCTTCGCTTGGCGGGCTGTTTTTTATTTTTTTTTTCAGCAAGGCAGTTCGGCTCGGCTGCTCTCGCGTCTGCAGATTTAAGAACGCCACTGTGCAGCTCTTGCAGCTCTTGCAGCTGGCACAGGTGTTAAACAGATAAGGGTAGCAGCAGGGGAGACACGCACCCCAGAGGCCTGATCTCGACCCGCACAGGGGCAGCGGCTGCTAAGACAGGTCGGCTCTGTCACCTGAGCTAAATAACTTTCCTGTTAGGCCCCGTCTTGCAAGGGAAAACTAACGATTGTCATGTGCTGAAAGACTGGATTGGCAGCACACACCAAGAGCTTAACTGCATCGTAATTGGTCCGTGCGATTGGCCGAGCGCTTGCCGTGGCCCTGCCTTTCTCCTGCCGTGATCCGGCCGGGCTCTCTCATGAGGGCCTGCCCTTGGGCTCCGAGAGCAGCTTGAGTTCCCGCTGAAGAGCCCAGGAAGAGCGCTTCACGAGAAAAGGACTCTCCCTCTCTACGGCTGAAGTGCCTTGTTCCAAGAGCAGGTCGCTCCTGAGTTTGACCTCTAGATCATGACCTTTGGGGAGCAGGGGCTGCTTTTGAGAAGGATTCGTAGTTATTGCCCGTTTTTTGGACCAGGCCGGGTCTTTGGCCGTTCTGGGCATTTCGGTGGTCTGGTCACTTTCTCCCAGTCGCCCCTGATGTGTCTTTTATGAGGTCAGAAGTACAGGATGGCCTACTGGACGTTTGGACTGGTCCCAGTTTTGGATGAATGCCTGTCTGTTTCTCAATAGTTGACCGTGCTTGATTAAATGTAATGACTGGCAGACATTTCCAAAAACGCATCCATTTGTGGATTCAGGCCTGTTGGATTTTTTTTGTGTGTGAATTTCTTTAAATATTGAAACTGCCAACAAGCTGGGTCACAGAGGTTTATTTTTTGGACTGTCGGCACTTTTCTTTCGTTTTTAGAGCCTAAAAAACGTTCTTTGATGGAGAAAGGCGATATGGCATCGTTTGCCTGTTCTATTCACATCTCTGGCTGTGAGGGCAGCTTGCGGCTGGCAGAGCACACGGCGTTCTTGGTTTATGATCCCAGGGCTTTTTTTCTCATGAAGATGTAACAGACCCGGCACAGATGATAACGCATCTTTCTCTGCGCGTCACCCCGGTCTGCTCCGGTGGGGGGGGGGGGGGTTGCTGGATGCTTCGCAGAGTGCTATTGTGGCTGCTTCTATTTTTAGACGTCGCTCTTCCTACGCATTTTCGGAGCTGTTTGTTAAATAAGAAAAAAAAAAATCAAATGACGCTCAGAGGGAGACAGGAGGAGATGGAGGGAGTGAGGGAGGGAAAATAGAGAGAGAGAAGACTGTCGCTAAACAGGCAAGTGGTTTGGCAGCCCCTAGGGGCCTTGTAATCACCATTGATGAACAAAAGCAAGCCCCAAAAAGCCCCGAGAGTCGGCCTCTCTTTCTCTGTGTCTCTCTCTTTTTTTGCTTCTGTGTTTTTATCCCTGTAAGGGGCCCGTCTGTTTAGTGTGCTTGTCTGGGTGAATTGTGCGGGGTTAGGTTACAGCAACAGAGTACATTCCCTGGATTGTATTTTCATGGTCATCGGAGAAGACTAGGCCCACACATTACAATCATTGGCTCCCTTCAGTGTTGCGGAGAGATGAGGACGCGCCGTGTGGCTCCGGGTATTGTGTTATCCAAGTGTCAGGCTGAAGACAATACCGCTAAGCTGTAGGTACTGTCCTGGAAACCAATTTAATAAAGGTGAGACAGGGAGGAACTTGCTGGTGTTGGGTTTCTTAGCTGTTCTGGTCTCCACGAGTCTGTGTTAATTGTCTTCAGAAGTTGAGTGCATCTTTTGCAGACTCAGGAATAATCTGCCTCGCATCTCAGTTAGCATTTATACTGTATCTGTGATGGGTTTTTTTTTTGCTGAAATTCAAGGGTAAGATGGAGCTGGAAGCTTCTTTAGCCCAGAACCTGGAGCCTTAACCATCTTGTTTGGAGCTGGAGA